CTGTGCAAACCCTATGAAGAATGAAAGTGAAACTGAAATCTTTTTGTGAATTAAAAATCTGAGTGTCAGTTACTATATCATGATGACAGCTGAACCTGAGATCTCGTGTTTCTTATGTTCTCAACAGCTGAAAACATGACTTGCACATAGTTATCTTAAGAGCAGCTGTTTCAGCTGTCTGATGTCACGAACTGAGTTACGGGGGGGAAAAAACCCAAAATTGGATTTTACCACATATAATGTGTGTAAGCTGATTTGCATAATTATGCGTAATTTTCAGTGACGCAAACTGGTTCGTTGGTTGGGATGCATGTGGGGAGTGTGGTGAGAGAACTTTCTCTCCTGTGAAGACAGGAATAATGCAGTTGCTTAAGTAGCTTATGACTTAGTGGGAAGACTTCTGCAAGTGGAACTGCTTGCCTCAGAGACTGGCATTTCAGTCTGTCATCATTCTCCCAAGGTTCCTCCAACTTTGACTGCTAAAATCCATCTCATAAAATGCTAATCCGGTGGTGAAAGCAGAAGCCTGGCTCTCAGTCTCCGCACGTATAACTCGCTACAGCGCCTGGGAAAAAGCAGGTTGCATCAAAATCCTCTGCTTAAATAGACTTGCATCACACTTTTATGGTCTCTAGATCAAAAATAGGCTGCTGTTTCAATTTTTCCCTCTTTTGTGTTTTACATAGAAACGTTGTGTGTAGATTTTTTTTTTAAAACATAGCCTGTAAATGAGCATATTGGTATAATATGGACATTTAATAGTTACTGTACATGTAGCTGGCTCTGAAGCCTGGAAAACACAAATGTCTGTCTGTGCTTTCTGCTTCTGCAGGCAAGGGTAGAGTTTCTGGATCCGAGGGACACAGTTTCTGTTCCTGACAATGTTTTATGTGCTCGTCAGGTACAGGCTTATTACAAAATGACCTTTAACCGCCTTGCTGTAAGGTGTGGAACAAAACATCTCGGCTGTTTTGCGTTAGAATGACAGGGCACAAAGTTACAGTGAGGATGAAAAACTCTCAGTGGGACTTTGCTGAAGTGTTTTCATCACTATTGCATATAAATCTTGTTTTGCATCTATTTCCCTCGCATCTTTGACAGAAAAGTGTAAGCTTTCCTTTTGGATGCATAGGGGATGTGTGTCTATACTGTTTACATGTACATGAGATTTAAACAGTCTTATTGAGCATGATCCATTGTTTTTCATAACATTTTTCAAAAACTGAGTTTTAGACCAGTCATAATCCTGTCCTGTGCGTTAGAAAATGAAAACAGGTAGCTAGGAATTTAGGAGAGTGCTCTATTCAGCTTCGTCAGTGAAGGCAGTTTTTAACTGTGGCAGAGCAGCCAGCTTTCTAGGGCACTTCAGGATGCCCACTTGATACGATCATATGTTTCCTAAAAATAGGTCTGTTGTAGTTTGTGGGGTGAGAGACTGGATACCTAATGCTTTTAGAATAGGGAATTGGATTTTCGGTTCCATTTCTTTTTTTTTTTTGTTGGTAGTCTCCAGAGACCCTGTACTTTGTACAGAAAGGATGGAGCTGCAAACAGAATTTTCGCTTCCCCGTCATGTTTTTTAGATTGGGTGGTTGGGGTTTTGGGGGTGTTTTCTCTCCACGTTGCTGAACTCCAGATCAGAACCCAATGGGCCATTTGTTTATCGTTTTTGCAGTTGACTGGTAGAGGTTGAGACCTCACAAAACCTTTGATGGTTTCCTTAAAGGAGAAGTCAAAAGGGCAGCAGAATTAAGATTCGAAGAATCATTTCAATGTAGTATTACCTGCCTTCATATAAGTAGTCTTATTTTTTGGTTCTACAGACATTTATTTCCAGAATTATTTTTTCCCCAATAACCCAATAAATAATTAATTTTTCTTATCCTAAGAGCCACCATTTATGTGATGAACATAGATCTGTGTGATTAGTCCCTAGGCATCCTTCAGAATTCGTTAAGTTCTGCCTATATTATTTTATTTATTAATGGCAACATCTCATTCTTTGTGAGAGGATATTGTGAAAATATTCCAGTTCCCTTCTATTGGATTTTGCTCAATTAATCTTGAGGAAAAGATGATTAGCCCCTTTCTAGAAGTAATTATTTTCTGTCATTGTCTTAATGCACAGCTGGATTAAGACAAATAATTGATGGTTTTAAAATCCGCCTCCCCCACCTGCATAAAGAAGCTGTAAACATGGGAAAATTTGGCATCTAGTTCTGCTTCTTGAGCATAGTGACATCTCTGTTCAGTATGTTCCTGTGTATTTTACTCCTTCTTCTGTTTCTTAATTAAACAGCATTTTGTACAATAGAGCTGCTGTTAGCAAATGTCAGGAAAGATAACCAGCCAAACGTTTTATTTTTGGTTATATATAGCAACACTGACAGATTAATTGGATCTCTTGCGTAGTGTTTCTTTGTAGTTAAAACTTACTTTTCAGGCTTCTGCAGTTTGTTTTTTTTTAATCATACGTGAAGAAACGAAATCAGTATTCTTCGTTACTTCATACCTAGTATTAGGGGAGTGGAGAAGTACATGCAAGTGCATATGACTGAAGGATAATGAAGTGGAAGTTATTGAAGGTTCAACTTGATTTCAGAGCCCTCTGTTCCACAGTGAAATGAGGCCTTGGTGCTGCTGTGTAACTGGTCTTCTCCTTCCCAGATGTGCACAAACACTCTTGTAGGCAAACTCCTCTAAACTTTGGTCGTTGCATCAAACACTGTCTGTATTAAACAGTAAGCGAAGACTGAGGGATACAGCTACGTGGGAGTGATGGGACTGTGGCTGCTCATGTCTCTCATGATCACATAAAATGCCTCTGATTTGCCTGTTAAGTCTAGCAGGCTGTTTTCAAGGCATGTGTTTTTCCTTTGAGAGTCTGGGAATAGCTCTTATGTCTGCTTATGAAATGTTTGTGTTCTCCTGATTATTACCCCAGTTATCTTGAAAAAGCTTCCAGACTTTCACATTGGGTTCTTCCCATACAGTGTATGAGCAATAGAAGGTAAAATATTGCAACTGAAAAAAGTATGATTAAGTTATATACTGTTAGCCCTCATCAAGTGTCACCGTTTATTTTCTGGGGATTCATTTTGCATGTCCATGTGAAAAGTGTAGGTGTTCAGCTGTTGATGGTGTAATTCTATAGGTAGATAGTGTTTCTGGCCAATCCAGATAATTTAGGTTCCTGTGGTAGTGGAGTGGGCTAATCCTGTATTTTGTTTTGTTTCCTTCTGTATTTGAAATGAGCAAAACACATTGAGCATTAGTGAAAGTAGTGCCCGTCAAATGTAAAAACGCCCCTTTGAAATCGATGGGAAAAGGAAAAGGGAAGTGGAAAAAAGCACTATAGAGTTGGTTGGTTGTTTTTATTCTTTTTTTCCTTTTTTCCTGAGAGCTAGTGATTATTGGTTTGCCAGAGCCCAGCAGATGTTCCACTGTGTCTTCAAAGGAAAAATATCTTGCGAGGAAAGAGCAAGGGGTCTTGGTATATGTATGTTTAAGAAAACTAACTCCTTTTGGTAGGATTACTAGCTGTGGGTGATCCTGAAAGTTCAGAGATAATTTTGTTTTAAATTGAATGTGGGGAAGTAGGAAAAAAGTACTCAAGCAGTTGAGTCCGAATCCCGTGTGCTCTGGTGTCACTGTGTGAAGGGTGATTTTCTTAAGGGATCTGAATTTTACTTCTCAAGCAATCAGTTCTCCCACTGGCAGTTCTGTGAGTAATAAAAGTTTACAGAGGAGTATGAAGCGTTTGAAACTAAACCAGATAGAACATGAAACTCCTCAGTATTGCAGGAATCAATTTCAGAAACCAAATTCAGGAATGAAGACAGTTTGTTTTCATGGTCAGATGAGTAACTGCTGATGTTTGCCCCTTGAAAATTACCTGGCCTCTGTTACTTTCAAGGAGGAGTCCTTCGGAGATATTTCGTTCCTAATCTTTTCACGTGGTGGCTCCAGAGTAGGGTTCTGCAATGTGTGCTGCCCTGCCTGCCGAATGAGCAATGTGAGATCTGGCATTCTTCACGCCACCAGGACAAGCCGTGGTGCTCCACTGGTGTGTATTTAGCAGCAAAGCAATCCAGTGTCTGCTAAATCTTGAACAGAAACAATGAACGGGCTTCTCAAAAAAAGTGTAATTAAAATTAAAAATTACTAATGCAGCGTATTATAAGGTTTCTCATGAATCTTTAATTAGTTGGAGCAGTAATAACGACCGTGCTTCCCAGGTGAGCAGGAATGTGTAGTTATGTGACACAAAATGCTGCACTGGAACCTCCTATAGGTTTTGCTGGTGTAGAATATCTTTGAAGGCTTTAAACGTGTTTCTTTTTTCAGTCTCAACTTGGAAACTGCAAGCACCTCTTCCAGAGTTAGTCTCGATGGATCTACACTTTAAGATAGTAAATACAAGGGATAGTGGTGGTGGGACACACCACCAGCAAAGCTCAGTGTCTAAATCAGTTGTGTGGCCTTACTGGAAGCTATTGGGTTTGGACTGGACTTGGTACTTTATATTTTATTAGCTGCTGGATTGTGTCCTGTCCCCTTCTTGAAGTGCCCCAGCTGGAAACAATCAGGTATAATAAGGCTGCTTGTGACAGTTGTTGTGTTTGGTTTTTTTTTTAAAGACAAATGAATACATGAGGATATGGAAATACTAAATTTCATGACTAGCACGTTTTGAGCTGAGGTGAAAGAATGTGATCCTTGTTTTTATGGTGTCTGGTGTGAGCATGAAGTGACACTATTTGTAGAATCTTGGAAGACTGTAAACTGTATTTGGTCATTCTTTTTCTTTCTGCAGTTAGTTTGTTGTCAGTCTTCTGTTGCTATGGGTCTTGAGGTTCTTATGTGTTGGACTCGTGAACTAGGTTTTACTTTTGTTTCATTAAAGAGCAAGTTGAATGAAGTCTGGCTTAGGTCTTAGCTAAAATGGAGCTGTTGAAAAATATTGCTGACTCACGTTGTGCTTTGTTTGTAGATACATCCGATTATACGGGAGAAAGTTCAGCAGAGAAGATCATGTGCTTTTTATCAAGTTGTTGTACGAGTTGGTAACGATTCCAAAGCTGGAGATCAGCATGATGCAAGGATTTGCACGCCTGTTGATAAACCTGTTAAAGTAAGTGCAGGTTTCTGCTGACTACTGAAACTTTTCGTCTCCAAGTAGTTGATCACTTCACTTGCTCCACGTTTTTACACGCTTCAGCGTAATCGTGTGTGCTGCTGCAGGTTGCTTCACTTCATCTCCCCTGTGCAGATGATGTTGGATAAAAGGATTCTCATTACGTGAACACCTTGCCCCTTTCAAAGCTTTAGGAGTGGTATTGAAA